CTCTCTCCCAGGCCAGGCCAGCCACCTCTCCAAGGCCTCTGCTGGCCTCGGGAACCCACTGCACCAGGACAGACATGGCCACACTGTGTAGCAGCAGAGCCCCCTGTTCAAACCCTATGATGCCCCAAACAGAACAGATACATTGAGTACCTTCCTGATAGAGCTTCTTCCTGAGTTCAAAACCGTAAGCTCAGGACCACAGGTTTATCATTTCCCACTTTCAGGTCAGCCCAGGAGGCTGACACAGAACTTGGGAATCACAGGCACGGAGGGTGTCTCGTGCCTCTGCTCGCTGACCAGTGAGGGGCGTGCAGCGTTCGGAAGGGCCGGCCGGTCCCATGGCCACGCTCCTCCACCTGGCCCACGAGGTGGGGAGGTGGCAGGCGGGTTCCCAATTCTGAACACGATGAGCCTGGAGCACAGTCAACAGCCTGGGTTCCTAGCGTGACTCGTCGTAGTGTTTCTCACCTGTGTGTTGTTTTTAAAAAGTAATGTAAGCACATTTGAAAGTATGGGGTAGTGATCATTGGGGCACCGCAAGGCAACTTTGAGAACATTCTGGAAACCTCCAACCTAGCGCTCCCTGAAAGCTCCCTGGGTAGTCAGACCCTGCCATCGGAGGAGGGCGAGACAGGGGCCTGGGCCGTGGTGGGATGTCGGTCCCCAGGGGCCTGCCTTCTAACTGTAGCTTCCCCTGGCCCTTCCAGACCAAGAACACGGATTTCTACAAGCAGGAGGTAGGTCCTGGGGCCGGAACGGGGGAGCGGGCTGGCCGACGCCCCGCCCGGCCCTGCTCACAGGTTCCATGTCGTAGATCGAGTGCTGCACCAAGGCCCTGGGCAGGATCCGGGTGAAGTCCTCTGTCTGCCTGGAGGCGTGAGTGGGACGGGGTGGCAGCTGGAGACCCCAAGCCCAGAGCCCAGACCCTTCCTCTAGTGCCCTTGACCCATAACCCCTCCCTGCACTGGCCCCTGGCACCATCCCCACCCCCAGGTACCTGAAGTTCAGCAGTCAGCACGGCCCGCATGACCCCATCATGTCGGGGTGCCTGCCCAGCAACCCCTGGATCACAGATGACGATACCTACTGGGCCATGAACGCACCCAAGTGAGCTCAGGGTGGGAGGGGGGTCTGCAGCTGTTCTTCCCAACTGTGCCACCCACCCCACAGTCCTCGTGCTCCTGACACCCACCCCTCCCCTAGTGTGGCTGTACCCACGAAGCTCCGCGTGGAGCGATGGGGCTTCAGCTTCCGGGAACTCCTGGAAGACCCTGTGGGCCGGGCCCATTTCATGGACTTTCTCAGGAAAGAGTTCAGCGGTGAGATGCCCCCACCTCCTGTTTGAGGCCCCATTGAGGGAGGTTTTTGCCTGGGACTCCCCCCCACCCCCATCCAGGTTTCAGTCAGCCCTGGCTGCAGCTCAGGGTGGGCCTGACCTGGTGCTTGGACCCCCAGCCGAGAACCTCAGCTTCTGGGAGGCGTGTGAGGAGCTGCGCCATGGAGGGCAGGCCCAGATCCCCGCCCTGGTGGACTCCGTGTACCAGTGAGTGCGAGAGGTGGGCCTGGCAGGCCAAAGGGCAGGCCTGTGGAGCCTGGACCCACCGGGGCTGTCCCCTGTCCCCACACACAGGCAGTTCTTGGCCCCTGGCGCTGTCCGCTGGGTCAACATCGACAGCCAGACGATGGAGCAGACCCTGGAGGGCCTGCGCCAGCCCCACCGCTACGTGCTGGACGATGCCCAGCTGCACATCTACATGCTGATGAAGAAGGTGAGCACTTCCTCCCGTGACTGTAAAGCCATCTCCACACTTCCTGTGTGTAGATATTCCAGGAAGTCCCTCTACAGGACATGGACCACCTCCTGCCTTTCAGCCGGGCTGCAGACGCCAGCAGCACACCCGGAACACACAGCTCACTCCGTGTCCTCAGATAGCCAGTCAGGGTCCACACCTGCCCACCGGGCCTCTTAGGTTAGTTTCCTGTCACTGCTGTAGAAAATGCCATAAACTTGGTGGCTTAGATGAGCACACATTTATCCTTTGGAGGCCAGAGACTGAGACGGGTATCTCTGGGCTAAAGTCAGGGTGTCCATGAGGCTGGTTCCTTCTGGAGGCTTCGGGGGAGAATCCATTTCACGGCCGCACCTTCCTAGATCCTGCACCCCCATCCCTGGCTCATGGCCTGTCCTCCATCTTCAAAGACAGCAGCGTGTCATCTTTTTTTTTTAATTAAGAAAAAATTTTTAATTGATTTGAGAAACATCAACCTGTTGCTCCACCCATCCATGCATTCCTTGGCTGCTTCCTGTATGTGCCCTGACCAGAGATCAAACCAGTCCGCAACCTTGGCACTTGGGGATGATGCTCCAACCAACTGCACTACGCGGCCAGGGCTTTTTCTTTTTTTAATTAAAATTTATTTTTCAATTATAGTTGAGATAGATTCTAATATTAGTCTCAGGTGTAGCAGCAGTGTATCACCTTTTCTTTTCTTTTTTAAAATATTTTATTGATTTTTTACAGAGAGGAAGGGAAAGGGATAGAGAGTTAGAAACATCGATGAGAGAGAAACATTGATCAGCTGCCTCCTGCACATCTCCAACTGGGGATGTGCCCGCAACCCAGGTACATGCCTTTGACCGGAACCGAACCTGGGACCCTTCAGTCTGCAGGCCGACGCTCTATCCACTGAGCCAAACCAGTCAGGGCAGTGTATCACCTTTAAATCTCTCTCTCTCTCTCTGATCCCCTTCCCTCCCTCTTTCACTTCTAAAGATCCTGTGCTTACACTGAGCCCACCCGGATAATCCAGGCAGTCTCCCCATCGAAACATCATCACTTTAATCACATCTGCAGAGTCCCTTTGCCACATGAGGGGACATATTCATAGGGCCTAGGGATTAGGATGTAGACATCTCTGGGCAGCTTTATTCTGAATACCACAGCCTACAAATATTTATCTGATTTTTTTTCAATTTGCTTGACTTTGGATCCAAACAGGTTCCATATATTGGTTAATGGCTCTTAAATCTCTTTTTAGAGTACTGTATAGGTTTCCTCTCTGTCTTGTAAAAAATTTTTTTGTTTTGTTTGGAAGGAACTGGGTCCTTCGTTCTATAGTTCTCCACAGTCGAGATTTTGCTGAGTCCCTGCGGTGCCTTTGATGTGTTTCTCTGCCCCAAAATTGGTAGTTACCGTTTAAGTCTTGATCAGAAGTCATTCTCAGTTTTGTTGTTGCTTATTTGTTCAGTGTTGTCAAGAATATTTTCTTCAGTTTGGTGTGTTCTTCCATCAGGAGGTACATGAGATTGGCTGCCTCCACTCACAGTCAAGTTCTGATCCCATCACCACCTCCATTTATGAGCTGAAGCCTCCCCTCCCTGCTCTTCGCTGGCCAGTGGTACCCACATAGGAAAGGCAGATCAATGCTCGATTCCTTCTTTTGTTGTTGTTCTTAATCCTCACCCAAGGATATTTTTTCCATTGATTTTTAGATAGTGGAAGGGACGGGGAGAGAAAGAGAGAGAAACAGATGTGAGAGAGACACACTGGTTGCCCCTCGCACATGCCCTGACCAGGGCTGGGGATTGAGCCTGCAACCAGGATACACGTCCTTGACCGGAATCAATCCCAGGACCCTTCAGTCCACGGGCCAATGCTCTATCCACTGAGCCAAACCAGCTAGGGCCGATTCTTTCTTTTAATTACCACTTATCAAAATAATGAGTTTGACCCTGATATCCACCGAGGGAGGCCATGAGGTTTCAGTGTTTTTAATACCATCATAAATTCACATTTTCACTGGATTTAATGGGTTTCAATCCATGTCAGTTCTTTTTTTTTATGTTTTTATTGATTTCAGAGAGAGAGGGAGAGAGAGAGAGAAACATCAATGATGAGAAAGAATCATTGACTGGCTGCCTCCTACACGCCCCCAACTGGGGATCGAGCCTGCAACCCGGGCATACGCCTCTGACCGGACTGGAACCTGGGACCCTTTAGTCCGCAGTCCGATGCTCTATCCACTGAGCCAAACCAGCTGGGGCCCATGTCAGTTCTTACTCTTACGTGATATTCAGAGGTCTCTGATGTGTCCCGTAGTCTCTGGTGACTTCCTTGTTTCCTGGTATGATACTGTCCAGGTTCTTCCTGCTCCAGACCTAGGCCATTTCCGTTAGCCCTGGCCCTTTTCCATGGGTGGTGTTCAGAAACCTTGACCTACACACCAGGTGTGTTCGTGCCCCTGGGGTGGCCATCATTTCCGGCCTTTCAGTGGACAGAATTAGGAAATATGTGTTTTTAAAAGCATGTATTTGAACTTCATACTGACACTTGTACTTCAGGTTTAGGATTAGACTTTCTCTACCTCCCTGATCTTATCTCTTTCTTCTCTCCCACTGAAAATCTTTGCCAACAAGGCTAACATAATTCCTCGTCTGCTTTCTCACAATCCACTCAGTGGTCTGAACTGAACGACACAGCACCCTTTACCACACACCCGCTGGCCATGGTTCCCTTTTCTCCCGTTTGGTCCCTTGTATGTACCCTATTCGGGACGTCCTCTTGAACGGCTCTGTCATTACGTGCGGTTAGGATGGTGTCACCCCCTGGATACCCAGCTCCAATTACGACCCTTTACTCTCAATGCTTGGGGATTGCTTACTTACTTTATAATTATGTGAAATATCTATACTTTCAAAACCCAACCTGTAAAGCAGGGTAAATTCAAATAAATCTAGCTTTTATTGCTGCCCCCTACCTTCTTCCCTAAATTTATATTTATCTTTTTAAAATATAACCAATTAGATTCGTAGATTCTTCTCCCACTTAACTGTCTACTGTGCAGTTTCTCTTGCCCTAGTTAGTCGGCTCTGTGTCCTCGCTCTTGCTCTACGGGGCAGACAGCTGCTCTGCGTTCCCTCGCGGGGGCACCCCGGTTCACTCCTCCCGTGTGGGTGCCGGCTCTTGCTCATCTTTGGCTGTTACATGGCCCACCTGGAAGGGAGCCCAGGTCCCTCTGAGTCAGCTGACTTGGTCAGGGCAGGTCTTGGGTGACCGCCTCCGGCACTGCCCACTGGGGGCTCCGAGGGTCAGAGCAGGGGCAGGCTGCAGGGGGGGAGCTGAGAGGGAGGAGGCGGAAGGCGTCAGGGCTGACCACCATTTCTTACAGGACTCCTACCCGAGGTTCCTGAAGTCGGACACGTACAAAGGCTTGTTGGCGGAGGCCATGATACTCCCGGAGACAAAGCGACGGTGAGCCTCGGTGGTGCCGTGCCCAGGAGCTGGGAGGCGGGACTCTTGAGGCCGCCCTGCTCTGAGGCCCCTTCTCGCCTACAGAGTGTTCCCATTCATGTGGAAGCCACGGCATTCGAGCCTGAGCCCTGCTCTCCCTCCTGCTTCTGCTTCAGTGGAACCTGCAGCTACTGCAGGTGGCCCTGGGGGTGCTGATGGGGAGGCCTAGGTAGGCCTGAGCCTAGAGGAGGTTCCACCCCTCGCCTCTCACCATCCTCTTCTCACCCAGGTCCTGGCAGCTGCCGAGACCCCTAGCGTGGGCATCCCCTAGTGCACAAAGGGTGTGGCCTTGCTGTGGGGCACACAAATCAGACTTCCCAGAAGGGATTGGGCCCAGTGCTGACTCCCAGGGAGGGGGTTCATTGGCCGAGCTTGGGTCACCTGGAGAAAGGTGGGATGAGATGGGCAAACCAGAGCAAGGCCATGCTCCTGGCATGCGGCAGTCTTCGGCTCCTGGTGCCCACCCCCCATCTCCAGACCACTACATTAGCAGGCAAGTACCTGGGAGCCAGAGGTAGCCAGCAGGAGCACCTGTCACATGGTGAGGAAATGCAGGCTTCGAAGCTAACTTACCCACTCCACTTCCTCAGGGTGACCCCATGGGGACTCTGCAGAGCTCCCTGGATTTCACTGGGGCTGAGCTCAGCTTTCCAATGAGTACAGAGCTGCCTCCACAGGTACTGCCCCGTCACTGCCACTGTGCATGTCCCAGGCCTGTCCGAAGGTGCGCCTCCGTTGTGAAGGGCACCGCTCCTTTGGGGGTACAGCTCTGACGGGCTCAGCTGAGGCAGCGCCCCACCCCACAGAGCTAGGGCTCCTGCCCATTCCTGGCACAGAAATAAAAGACCCTCGGCCCAGGTAGCTAGTTGGTTAGTGTTGTCCTGATACACCAAGGTCGCAGGTCAGGGCACATCTAAGAATGAACCAATGGATACATAAGTAAGTGGAACAACAAGCTGATGTTTCTAAAATCAATAAAGAAAAAAGAAAAGAAAGGCCGTTGGCCCTCACTCTGTGCTCACATGCTGTGGTCCAAATCGTGGTGTGTGCACCTGTTGTGTCTGTGTGTGCATGAAGCACGCAGCGGCGAGGGCGGTGGTGAAAGACAATATGGGGAGTTCAGGTGTCATGGGAGGTCCCGTGTGTCCACAGAAGAGACCAGCCCCAGGCTGAACTCGGGTTGCACACTTGTGGGTGCTTGGTCTTTGGCCACAGCCAGGAACACTGTCTGCTCCGAGGGACGAGGATGCCCAGGCTCCTGGGACGGAGCCCATCGCCTCCTGGGCAGGTGGTGTCCTAAGGCTGGGGAGTTCAGGTAGCGCCGCATGGAACCCACGGGTCAACTGCTTTACTTACAAGTCCAAGGTGCGGGAGGCCCACTGATGAGGGCACCCCCTGGCGCGGCCCCCTAACTCCTGCTCACTGTCCCGGGACCCAAACTGGGTGGCCCCTCCCCACAGCCAGCTCCTCTGTCCAGGGCTGTGAACCCCAACCTGGACCCCGAGAGGCCCTGGGCTCCAGCCCCCAGCCCTATTGGCTCCAGGTGATTTTCACTCACAGACCTGTCACTTTTCACAGGACCATTTTTGGGGGGCGGGGACTTTGGGGTTACAGGGAGTTTTTTGTATTTAAATGTCTACAGGAAATGCCTACAGGATTCTCTAAAACGTCTCCCTCATCACTTTGGTACCCAAAGCTGCATCTCACTGAAGCCTCCCACCTGGGCCCCTCCTGGACAGCTGCCAGAACCCACCTCCAACCCCTCCCTGGCCAGCCCTTGGAAGACACCAGGGTGCTGGGGGAACCCTGCACTGCCTGTCCTAGGTCCTGTGGGCTGGGTTCCTGGCTTGCTGTGGGTGCCCAGGGAGGGTCCTCACACCTGAGATGCACGTGGAGGCTGTGCTGAAAAAGGCCTCTGGGCCCTTAGTTTCTGATCTGGCAGGAGTGTGGGGGGCACTCCGAGAACACAGGGGTCCCTCACCTCCTCAGCCATCTCTCCCATCCTGGCCCATTTCACCCCCTGAAGCAGACAGACAGGAGGCGCACACGTACCCGCCGGGCTTTCTCAGCGAGTGCAAACGTTTATTCTGGTCTCTTCCGCGCTACCCAGAGTCGGCAGGCTGCGTCATGCCTGGGCCGGCTGAGCTGCACAGTGCACTGCAGCCCTGGGCGCAGCAAGGCACAGAGGTGAGTCCTGCGTCAGGGACACCAATGCTGGCGACATCCCAGCACCAGGAAGGAGGGGAGCTGGCTACGCCTAAGGGTGCAGGGACTCCAGGGGGACAAGCGGCTCCAGTGTGTGTCAAGAGGGTGCAAAATGCCCCCAGTGTGCGTCCTAAGGCAGTTCCTTGGGAGTCACAGCACAAGCAGCCAGCACAGGTGTAAACTCCCCTCAGGGCATCCCTGAGCAGTGCACCCATCATGGCCTACAAGCCCCCCCTCCATGAGCCGGTCAGAGGGGCTCCGCTCCCCAGGGCAAGACCCCACCAGCCACGCTAATCTTCCCTCCTTGCTCTGGGAAGGGCCGGGGGCTGGTACCGCTGCCCTGAGACCACTCGGGGGACCACCCCCCTCTGAGCTCCAGGACCCCAGGGGGACAGTGCAGAGAGGACGAGCTCAGGTGGGAAGTGGGGAGGGGACTTCTGCAGGTCAGGCCTGGGCTCTTCCCAGAGGGAGGCCACCGTGAAGGCAGCTGGCCTTCAGCATGTGACCCCAGTGGGCAGATGAGGACCTGTGTAAGGACACAGCGTGCTGGGCAGGACAGGCCTGGGTGTCCCTTTCCCACCCGTGTCCCTGGGTACTTAGGAGACCCTGTGGAGTGTGGCCAGGCTCAGGAGTGGGAGTCAGTGTACAGAGCAAATGAACGAAGGGCCAACTTCCCAGGATGTTTAATGTCAGCAGCTGGAGCCTCTTGTGCTCTGACCGCTGTGTATCTAGGCCTCGCTCCGGTACCGCAGGCGGGAGAGCCGATCCCTGATGTCCTGGTCGCTGTCAGCCCCACCCTCGGTCAGGTGAACCACCCTGCTGCTCAGGATGAGGTCCTGTACCTTGTGCTTGGCCATGGAGACCAGGCCGGGTGCATCCGGGCTGGTCGGGCCCGTGAGGAGGATGCAGGCGGCATGGCGGCCTGGCTCCAGCAGGGCCACTGTGGAGGACAGAGCCGTCAGGTGACTTGGGACCAGACACAGTGTAAGTGGGTGGGACTCAGGGCCACAACGAGGCCGCACTCACCTTGGAAGGCGACAATGTTGGCAGAGACGTTGGCCAGCTCCAGCAGGACGCTGGGCAGAGTGGGGTGAAACATGTAGAGGCTGTGCTGGGTGTCTCCCGGCTCCTAAAATGAGAACCAGCGATGGGGCGGGAGGCTGACCAGGCTGCAGCCACCTCCGCATCTGGGCCGAGAAACCAAGGGTGTACACTGCTCTTGGCCTGGCAGCTGGGCAATGCTGTGCTCATCGCTTATGGGACACTGGACACACTGACCACAGCCAGAGCTGTGTCCACTGGGCTCCCCCAAATGCCAATCTGAACTCTGCATCTACCTTCTCTACTCCTCTTCTACCAACCTGACCCTGATCCTCCTCAGCATCCTCCACCTGGAACTCGGCCGCCTTCCCCAGTACACTCCACTTCTTTCCAGATTCCCCTATCCGCCCCCAAGGCAGGCCACGCCCTGGCCTCCCCTGCGGCCAGAGCACTGCCCCATCCCACCCCTCTCCCACGGCTTCTATTTATGTGTACACGTCCAGTCACCCAATTAGGTCCTTAAGACGGGGCCTAAGACAGGCCCCTGGTCTCTGGCCCTGGCGTGTCCCGATTGTGCACTCTGCCCGTACCATCTGGTTGGCACCGACCAGCTCGTGGAGGCCCCAGAAGAAGAAGGCTGAGCGGTGGTCTGCGGTCAGCAGGCTGGCAGACGGAGGGTACCCAGGGAGGCCTGGAAGGGCCAGAATCCAAAGGACCGCCCCGGTGCTGAGGTCCAGGAGCCGGATCTGGGAGGAAGGGGACAGATGGGGTGGGATTTGCACAGGCACATGGGCCAGCCCTGAACGAGCTGCTCCCTGGGGTTGACGAGACTGTCTTCCTGAGGCCCCTCTTGTCCCAGCTCAGCCATCAGGCCACAGCCCTGTCTGCTGTTCAGACTCATTTTCCTCAGCTACAAACCAAGGTTGTACCACAAAAGGAAGTGCAGCCAACCTGTCTGTCAATGCCGGTTCCATTTTCAACGACCACGGCTAAGGTGTCGGGTTTGTAGTGACCAAGGACGGGTTTTCTAGGGAAGAAGCCACGAGGGGTCTCTGTGAGGAGACACCTGGGGGCAGGTTTGCCACCCTCTTCTCCCTGGCTAGGCAGCCAGGACGGGAAGCAGAGGGGCTTCACCAGCCTCCGTCCCCCGCCCACCCCCGGGCAGGGAAGTACCAGGGGGCAGGCAAGAGGCCGCTGGCAGAAGCACACTGGCCGTCTCGCCCACCTCCACGGGGCTGCCAGGGGGATGGGCTGGCGGGGCCTGGCTGGCAACAACTGCACAGGCTCCTGGGGAAGCCGTACCTGAGGACCTGGGGCGCGCTGAAGGTCCACCTGGGGGCCAGCTCCTGGCCCTCCAGCAGCACGCAGGAGTCCGAGCTCACGAGGAGGAGGTCCTCGCCGCCTTTCCCGGGAACGTTCATCAGATGGTGGATGGCTCCAGAGCTGGAGGAGGCGGCAGCCAGGACAGAGGCTGGAGGCGGGGACCCTCCCCCAAGCACTGTCCACCAGACTCCCACCTGCAGCCCCTCATCCTTAGATCTCTCATTTGAGAATATAACACCAGACCCTCGCTGTGCTTGGAGAGAGGGTGAGCCCACCGCTGGGAACCTTTTCCCTCCGTGTCTGAGCCCAGCATGGCCTCACAGTACCAGCAGCCAGGCCCGCAGCCCCTCCACGGCTGAGCACGGAGGACCGGGCCCTGGCCTGTGTGACGCCGCCCACACCCACCTGTGCACACGCAGCCTGTGGTCGGTGGCATTGAGCACGTCCTCCCAGCTGGGGTCTCTCCTCAGTGGGCTGTCTCTCCCGGTCACTGTTTCATAGACGCCCTTCACGGAGCGGCCACAGAGGGAACCTGCTACTCAAAACACAGAAGAGCCTTAAGTCACCAGGGGCTGCTGGGGGACCAGGACTCGCGCCCTCAGCCCTGCTCACAGGAACACGCGGTGCCCTCCCTGAGTGGGGAGGGGTGAGACCCTCTGTGGCTTTCACTGCTTGTCAGCGATTACACTTTGAATCCCTAGAAGAAAAGCAGGAGCCATGGAGCCTCACGGCAGCTGCAGCTCTCATCTGAGACCAGCATGGCCTCTGCAAGTGCGGCCGTTTGGGGCCCAGCAGGCACAACATACCGCAGGGGAGAAGGATGTAGTGGGCGCCCGCCCTGGTGACATAAAGGAGAGAGCCACTGGTCCCATCCACACCGAGGCTGCCTCGGTGGCCAATCTGGTGCCCGGTGCTGCCTGAATAGATGTAGCTGTTAACCTGCAACACATGGGAAGAGAAAGGGGTCAAAATCCCCCTGGTTTGGGGAAGATTCCTGTAAGTGTCTGATATCAGGCGTGTGTGCGGGGACTGCCTGGGAGAAGAGCGTGGTCTCCCACACTAGAGCCCCTCAGGCTCCTCAGGACCACCCCCCCCCCCCAGTGGCACAAACAAAAGGGCACTCCCACTCCTGGGGAGGCCCAGGAGCTATGAACAGGGACCGAGCTGCCCAGGGTGCTGGGTCTGCAGGTGCCAGGGCACAGGGCCTTGGGCAAGTCCCCTGACAGGTGATCAGACCCAGAATCTGCCTGGGAAGTGGAAGGACCAGGGAGCAGAGTGGAGAGGCTCCGGGGGCATGGGCTGCAG